GGTTTGAATAAATCAACTGTGGGAGCAATTATTAGGAAATGGAAGACATACAAGACCACTGATAATCTCCCTAGATCTGGGGCTCCACGCAAGATCTCACCCCGTGGGGTCTAAATGATCACAAGCAAAAATCCCAGAACCACACAGGGGGACCTAGTGAATGACCTGCAGAGAGCTGGGACCAAAGTAACAAACGCCTACCATCAGTAACACACTACGCCGCCAGGGACTCAAATCCTGCAGTGCCAGACGTGTCCCCCTGCTTAAGCCAGTACATGTCCAGGCCCGTCTGAAGTTTGCTGGAGTGCATTTGGATGATCCAGAAGAGGATTGGGAGAATGTCATATGGTCAGATGAAACCAAAATAGAACTTTTTGGTAAAAACTCAACTCGTCGTGTTTGGAGGACAAAGAATGCTGAGTTGCATCCAAAGAACACCATACCTACTGTGAAGCATGGGGGTGGAAACATCATGCTTTGGGGCTGTTTTTCTGCAAAGGGACCAGGACAACTGATCCGTGTAAAGGAAAGAATGAATGGGGCCATGTATCGTGAGATTTTGAGTGAAAACCTCCTTCCATCAGCAAGGGCATTGAAGATGAAACGTGGCTGGGTCTTTCAGCATGACAATGATCCCAAACACACCGCCCGGGCAACGAAGGAGTGGCTTCGTAAGAAGCATTTCAAGGTCCTGGAGTGGCCTAGCCAGTCTCCAGATCTCAACCCCATAGAAAATCATGTAAGTCGCTCTGGATAAGAGCATCTGCTAAATGACAAAAAAAAAAAATAAAAATTCTTTGGAGGGAGTTGAAAGTCTGTGTTGCCCAGCGACAGCCCCAAAACATCACTGCTCTAGAGGAGATCTGCATGGAGGAATGGGCCAAAATACCAGCAACAGTGTGTGAAAACCTTGTGAAGACTTACAGAAAACGTTTGACCTGTGTCATTGCCAACAAAGGGTATATAACAAAGTATTGAGAAACTTTTGTTATTGACCAAATACTTATTTTCCACCATAATTTGCAAATAAATTCATTAAAAATCCTACAATGTAATTTTCTGGATTTTTTTCCCTCATTTTGTCTGTCATAGTTGACGTGTACCTATGATGAAAATTACAGGCCTCTCTCATCTTTTTAAGTGGGAGAACTTGCACAATTGGTGGCTGACTAAATACTTTTTTCCCCCACTGTATATACATATATGGACGAGCAATGGCAGAGTGGCATGGACTAAGACATTTATAGAATACAGTATATACATATGAGATGAGTAATGCAAGATATGTAAACATTATTAAAGTGACTAATGTTCCATTTCTTAAAGTGGCCAGTGATTTCTATAGGCAGCAGCAGCCTCTGTGTTAGTGATGGCTATTTAACAGTCTGATGGCCTTGAGATAGAAGCTGTTTTTCAGTCTCTCAGTCCCAGCTTTGATGCACCTGTACTGACCTCGCCTTCTGGATGATAGCAGGGTGAACAGGCAGTGGCTCGGGTGGTTGATGTCCTTGATGATCTTTTTGGCCTTCCTGTGACATCGGGTGCTGTAGGTGTCCTAGAGGGCGGGTAGTTTGCCCCCAGTAATGCGTTCGGCAGACCACACAACCCTCTGGAGAGCCCTGCGGTTGCGGGCGGTGCAGTTGCCGTACCAGGCGGTGATACAGCCCAACAGGATGCTCTCAATTGGGCATCTGCAAAAGTTTGAGGGTTTTAGGTGCCAAGCCAAATTTCTTCAGCCTCCTGAGGGTGAAGAGGCTCTGTTGCGCCTTCTTCACCACACTGTCTGCGTGGGTGGACCATTTCAGTTTGTCAGTGATGTGTACGCCAAGGAACTTGAAGCTTTCAACCGTCTCAACTGCGGTCCCGTAGATGTGGAAAGGGGGGTGCACCCTCTGCTGTTTCCTGAAGTCCACGATAATCTCCCTTGTTTTGTTGACATTGAGTGATATGTTATTTTCCTGGCACCACACTCCCAGAGCCCTCACCTCCTCCCTGTAGGTGGTCTCGTCATTGTTGGTAATCAAGCCTACTACTGTTGTCATCTGCAAACTTGGTTGAGTTGGAGGCGTGTGTTGCCACGCAGTCATGGGTGAACAGGGAGTACAGGAGGGGGCTGAGCCCACACCCTTGTGGGGCCCCAGTGTTGAGGATCAGCGAAGTGGAGGTGTTGTTTCCTACCTTCACCACCTGGGGGCGGCCCGTCAGGAAGTCCAGGACCCAGTTGCACAGGGCAGGGGTCAGACCCAGGGCCTCGAGCTTAATGATGAGCTTGGAGGGTACTATGGTGTTGAATGCTGAGATATAGTCAATGAACAGCATACTTGCATAGGTATTCCTCTTGTCCAGATGGGATAGGGCAGTGTGCAGTGTGATGGCGATTGCATCGTCTGTGGATCTATTGGGGCGGTAAGCAAATTGAAGTGGGTCTAGGGTGACATGTGATCCTTGACTAGTCTCTCAAAGCACTTCATGATGACAGAAGTGAGTGCTATGGGGCGATAGTCATTTAGTTCAGTTACCTTTGCTTTCTTGGGTACAGGAACAATGGTGGCCATCTTGAAGCATGTGGGGACAACAGACTGGGATAGTGAGAGATTGAATATGTCCGTAAACACCAGCCAGCTGGTCTGAGGACGCGGCTAGGGATGCTGTCTGGGCCGGCAGCCTTGCGGGGGTTAACATGCTTAAATGTCTTACTCACATCGGCCACGGAGAAGGGGAGCCCACAGTCCTTGGTAGTGGGCCGCGTCGGTGGCACTGTGTTATCCTCAAAGCGGGCGAAGAAGGTGTTTAGCTTGTCCGGAGGCAAGTCATCAGTGTCGGTGACGTGGCTGGTTTTACTTTTGTAGTCTGTGATTGTCTGTAGACCCTGCCACATATGTCTCGTGTCTGAGCCGTTGAATTGCGACTCAACTTTGTCTCTATACTGATGTTTTGCCTGTTTAATTGCCTTGCGGCGCGAATAGCTACACTGTTTATATTCTGCCATATTCCCAGTCACCTTGCCATGGTTAAATGTGGTGGTTCGCGCTTTCAGTTTTGCGTGAATTCTGCCATCTATCCATGGTTTCTGGTTAGGGTAGGATTTAATAGTCACAGTGGGCACAACATCTCCTATAAACTTCCTAATAAACTCAGTCACAGTTTCAGTGTATTTGTCTAAATTATTTTCGCAAGCTACCTGGAACATATCCCAGTCCGCGTGATCAAAACAATCTTGAAGCGTGGATTCCGATTGGTCAGACCAGCGTTGAATAGTCCTTAGCACGGGTACTTCCTGTTTGAGTTTCTGCCTCTAGGAAGGGAGAAGCAAAATGGAGTCGTGGTCAGATTTGTCGAAAGGAGGGTGGGGGAGGGCCTTATAACCATCCCGGAAGTTCGAATAGCAATGGTCGAGGATTTTAGCAGTCGATATGTTGATAGAACTTCGGCAGCCTAGTCCTCAAATTTGCTTTGTTAAAATTTCCAGCTACAATAAATACAGCCTCAGGATATGTGGTTTCCAGTTTGCATAAAGTCCAGTGAAGTTCTTTGAGGGTCGTCGTGGTATCTGCTTGAGGGGGGATATACACGGCCGTGACTATAACCGAAGAAAATTATCTTGGGAGATAATACATTTGATTGTGAGGTATTCTAGTTCGGGTGAACGAAAGGACTTGAGTTCCTGTATGTTACTACAGTTACACCATGAGTCATTAATCATGAAACACACACCTCCGCCCTTCTGCTTCCCGTAGAGATATTTATTTATGTCTGCGCGTTGAACTGAGAACCCATCTGGCTGGACCGATTGACAGAATATCCTGAGAGAGCCTCGTTTCCGTGAAACAAAGTATGTTACAGGTCTTGATGTCTCTCTGGAAAGAAATCCTTGCCCTGAGCTCATCGACATTGTTATCCAAAGACTGAACATTAGCGAGTAATATACTTGGAAGCGGTGGGTGGTGTGCGCAGGCCGCTCCGAATGCCCCTCCGCCGGCGATGTTTTGGGTCAGCCGCTGGAATCCGTTCAATTGCCCTGGGGAGAGAAAACAAAGGATCTGCTTCGGGAAAGTCGTATTCCTGGTCGTAATGCTGGTAGTTCTGGTGAGTTACTGCCGCTCTGATATCCAATAGTTTTTCCCGGCTGTATGTAATGATGCAAAACACTTTCTGAGCTAATAATGTAAAAAATAATACATAAAAAAAACGAAATACCGCAAAGTTTCCAAAGAGCTAGTCGCGAGGCCGCCATCTTCGTCAGTGATGTACTTGGATCAGCTCCTTGGTATTACTGACATTGAGGGAGAGGTTGTTGTCCTGGCACACTGCCAAGTGTCTGACCTCCTCCCTGTAGGCTGTCTCATTGCTGTCGGTGATAAGGCCTACCACCGCCATTTCGTGTAAGCGAGGTACTAGTGACTGTGTTTTCCTCTGCACAGACAGATGAGACGGATATCAGCTAATGACAATGTGATTGATGACATCAGTAGTGTTGTATCCTCGAAAGCCACATGAGACTAGTATTGATAGAAGTGACTGTATTGTAGAAATGAACCAAGTAGCAGACATGCTTCTTCATTCCAACGGTTCTTAAACTTTTTGTGGTGTGACCCACTAAAGCTTTTGGAATTTTCATGTGACTGCCACATCAATGGAATCAGCATTTTATGTTGGCACAACCCAGTCTGCCACCACATTAAAGGAATTGGCCACAACATTACCCCAAGGTTACTTACCTACTCAGTGGTTGCGTCGCTATAGTCTCAAATGGCTCCTCCATCTCTTCTCCTTCATCTGCACTTATCTAATAACACACGATCGGTGAAAGCAACATTATGGTGGTGAATGCCTACAGAGGTTGCTTGTCAACTTCTTTCACATCTGTGCAGATAAGGGAAAGGAGGTGAGGAGAGGCGGCCCCTTAAGACAATTGAGATGCACCCTGTGAGACCTTACCACCCGCCAGCTAAGGATCGGACAGCGCTGTATCTTTTTGTCTATCCATCTGTGGTTGTAGACTGGCATTGACTTCATTGACTTGTTACATCATTACAGCGGTCACGTTGCATCAGAGCTTTGCTGCCACTGATGCCCCGCCCACGGCTGCTGCCCCTCAAACCACGTCTCCGCCTCCTGCACCCCCGGCCCTGCCCGAGAGGGGCAACTACACTGTAACCAACGGCAATGGGACCGCCTGTCTGATGGCCCTCATGGGACTGCAGCTCAACGTCAGCTTCAGCTCTGCCGCTTTCAATAAGGTACGCACACACAGACTTGCACATTCTTGAAGCCCAGCACCTCTCACACACAGTCTTGTTTTACTAACCTTGTGGGGACACATCATTGATTCCCATTCAAAATACTATTTTCCTTGACCCCAAAACCCAACCCTAACACTAATTCTAACCCTATACCCCCTAGGAATAGCCTTTATCCTTGTGGGGACTGGCAAAATGTCCCCAGTTGGTCAAATGTTTGTTTGTTCACTATTCTTGTGGGACTTCTGGTCCCCTCAAGTATAGTTAAACATGTCCACACACACACACACACACTCACAGCCCTGTGTCTTGTTGTCCTGTGTGTGCAGACTGTGCTGGACGTGGTGAACCTGCAGCCCAACATGACTAAGAGCTCAGGGTCATGTGACTCGGACAGCGCCACCCTGCTGCTGAAGGCTGACGAGGAGAGAACCAACCTCACCCTCATCTTCTCCCTGGTCAGAACTCTCTTTTTACCTTTTCTTTGTTTCTCTTTACTTTTCTCTTTCTTTGGCTGTGTCTGCCACTTCACTTAGTTTTCTCTCTGTCGCTCTCTCTCTGTCGTCGCTCTCGCTCTGTCGTCGCTCTCTCTCGCTCTGTCGTCGCTCTCTCTCGCTCTGTCGTCGCTCTCTCTGTCGTCACGCTCTCGCTCTGTCGTCGCTCTCCTTCCCTCTCTCTCCTCTCTCTCTTCGTCGCTCTCTCTGCGTCGCTCTCCCTCTGTCGTCGCCTCTCTCTCTGCTCGCTCTCTCTCTCTGCGTCCTATCTCCTCTCCTCTGTCGTCGCTCTCTTCTGCCCGTCTCTCTCTCTCTGTGTCGCTCTCTCTCTTGTCGTCGCGCTCTCTCTTCCTCCGCTCTTCTCGTCCCGCTCTCTCTCTGTTCGTCGCTCTCTCTCTCTCTCTCGTCGACCTCTCCCTTCCTCTCTCTGTCGTCCGTCTCTCTGTCTCCTCTCTCGTTCGTCTCTGTCGTCTCGTCTCTCTCTGTCGTCGCTCTCTTCGGGTCGCTCGTCGCTCCTCTCTCTCGCTCTCTGTCGTCGCTCTCTCTTGTCGTCGCTCTCTCTTCGTCGTGCGCCTCTCTCTCTGTGGCCTCTCTGCGTCACTCTCCTCTCTGCTCGTCGCTCCTCTCTCTCTGTCTCCTCTCTGTCGTCGCTCTCCTCTTCTGTCCTCGCTCTCTGTCGTCGCTCTCTCTTCTCTGTCGCTCTCCTCTCTCCTTCTCTCTCTCTCTCTCTCTGTCGTCGTCTCTCTCTTCTCTCTTCTGTCGTCGCGCTCTCTCTCTCTTGCTCGCCTCTCTGTCTCGTCTCTGTCTCGCTCTCTCTCTGTCTGCTCTCTTCTCTCTCGTCGCCTCTCTCTCTTGTCTGTCGCTCTCGTCCTCTGGTCGTCCTTTCTCCCTTCCTGTCGTCGCTCTCTCTCTCTCTGTCGTCGCTCTCTCTCTTCTCGCGCTCTCCGCTCTCTCGCTCTCTCTCTCTGTCTCGCGCTCTCCTCTCTCTTCCTTGTCGTGCTTCTCGCTCTTCTCTCTGCTCTCTCGTCGTCGCTCCTCTCTCTCTCTGTCGTCGCGCTCTCTCTCTCTGTCGTCGCGCTCTCTCTCTGTCGTCCTCTCCTCTCTCTGCTCGCTCTCTCTCCTCTCGTTCTTCGTCCTCTTCTCTCTCTGTCGTGCTCTCCTCTCTGTCGTCGCGCTCTCTCTCTTCTTCTCTCTCGTCGTCCCTCTCTCCTCTCTCTGTCGTCCTGCTCTCTCTCTCCTCTCGTCGTTCTCGCTCTCCGTCCTTCTCTCTCTCGTGTCGTCGCTCTCTCTCTCGTCTCTGCTCCTCTTCGCTCTCTGTCGTCGTCCTCTCTCTCTCTGTCCTCGCTCTCTGTCGTCGCTCCTCTCTCTGTGTCGCCTCTCTCTCTCCTCCTCTCGTCGCTCTCTCTCCTGTCGTCGCGCTCTCTCTCTCTCGTCGCCTCTCTCTCGTCCTCTCTCTCTGTCGCTCTCCTCTGTCTGCTCTCTCCTCTGTCTCTCTCTCTCGTCTCGTCGCTCTCTCTCTCTCCTCTTCGTCTCCTGTCTCGTCCGCTCCTCTCTCTGTGTCGCTCTGCTCTGTCTCCGCTCTCTCTCTCGTCTTCCGTCGTCTCTCTCTTGTCGTGCTCTCTCGTCTCTCTCTGTCGTCGCGTCTCTCTCTCTGTCGTCTGCCTCCTCCTCTCGTCGTCTGCGTCGCTCTCTCTCTCTCTCTGTCGTCGCTCTCTCTCTCTGTCGTCGCTCTCTCTCTCTGTCGTCGCTCTCTCTCTCTGTCGTCGCTCTCTCTCTGTCGTCTCTCTCTGTTGTCCATCTTTTTCTTTATTTATTCTTGCATCCATTAATACATTAGTACATGCAGTAAGATTTTCTGTATCAGTAGTAAAGGCTTTTGGCACTAACACCTGACTGCCACAAGATGGAGCCTCATGAACAAGCAGAGGACAGGCACTCGTGAACTATTGTTCCAGTCGTGAGTGTGGTGTACACACTGTGTGGCGTCACTGGTTCTCTTGTGTCTGCAGAATGCCACGTCCAGTAAGTACCACCTCAGTGGAGTGACCCTGTCGGCAGCCTGGCCGCACATGAGTGGTGAGTCTGGATCCATGTATTATTAATCTACTAGCCATCCTCTTACAACCCCAATCTGCCATGTAAGCAGTTTCTCCAGTGTTGAAAACCTTCTATAATCCTCCTCTCCCACACTCTTCCATCCCCCACATTACTGTAACGTCTTCTCCTTTTTTTATTATCCCCCTTTCTTTATCCCGTTTCACATCCCAACCTTTACCTCCCCCGAGCTGACAAGGTAAAAATCTGTTGTTCTGCCCCTGAGCAAGGCAGTTAACCCACTGTTCCCCAGGAGCCAATGACGTGGATGTCGATTTAAGGCAGCCCCCCTTCAACTCTGATTCAGAGGGGTTGGGTTAAATGCTGAAGACACATTTCAGTTGAATGTATTCAGTTGGTACAACTGACTAGGTATCCCCCTTTCCTTTCCCTCGTTTATCATCCTTCGTACCCCACCCTTAACCTCTCTCCCTGTGGTCCCTCCAGAGCCCTTCTCAGCCAGTAACAGTAGTCTGGACTACCTGCGTGGTACCCTGGGGCGGAGCTACATGTGTCGTGAGGAGCAGACTCTGGCTGTGACTGTGAACTTCTCTCTCAACACCTTCCAGCTGCAGGTGCAGCCCTTTGGCCTCACCGGGTACCAGTTTGGAGCAGGTACTGTACTGGGGGTTACCGCTTCACGTGGGACTGTTTCAGTAGGGGACATGGGGGTTACCATTCCATGTGGTACTATTTCAATAGGGGACTGTGGGTTACCATTCAATGTGTTAATGTTTCAGGAGGGGATTGTTATCCACATTGCTGAGATTGGAATAATAGATTATAGAGCTTTTCTTTCTTCTTATCTTTCAATTTCTTATTTTTCTCCACTTTCCCTCGCCTGCTCTTATGTCTCTCTCTCTAATTCCCCTTCTTTCTCACTGCCTCTGTTTGTCTCCCTCTCCAGCGGAGGAGTGTCAGCTGGATGAGGATGACATGTTGATCCCCATCATCGTGGGCGCTGCGCTGGCCGGACTGGTCCTCGTCGTCCTCGTGGCCTACCTCATCGGCAGGAAGAGGAGCCACGCCGGATACCAGACCATCTAAGATCACTTCCTGTCGACTGACCCCCACCACCAAGAGCCAGAGAGCGCTACCCCACCCCACCACCAAAGCCAGAACGCTACCCCACCACCCACCAAGCTCACCACCCACTCACCTGGATTGACTGACCCCCACCACCAAGAGCCAGAGAGCGCTACCCCACCACCTCACCCCCCAGCTACTAACAATCACCTGGATTGACTGACCCCCACCACCAAGAGCCAGAGAGCGCTACCCCACCACCTCACCCCCCAGCTACTAACAATCACCTGGATTGACTGACCCCCACCACCAAGAGCCAGAGAGCGCTACCCACCACACCTCACCCCCAGCTACTAACAATCACCTGGATTGACTGACCCCCACCACCAAGAGCCAGAGAGCGCTACCCCACCACCTCACCCCCCAGCTACTAACAATCACCTGGATTGACTGACCCCCACCACCAAGAGCCAGAGAGCGCTAACCCCCCACCACCTCACCCCCCAGCTACTAACAATCACCTGGATTGACTGACCCCCACCACCAAGAGCCAAGAGCGCTACCCCACCACCTCACCCCCCAGCTACTAACAATCACCTGGATTGACTGACCCCCACCACCAAGAGCCAGAGAGCGCTACCCCACCACCTCACCCCCCAGCTACTAACAATCACCTGGATTGACTGAACCTCACTACGACCCCTAAACTGAACTTCCTAACCCCCATTCAGTTGGTCTCATCCTAGAATCCTCCCCTCCCCATCTTCCCCTCCGAACTCACTCACTCACTAGCCCCACGTTGGGTATCCATGGGGTTGATATGCGCTTTCAGGACTGAACTGCTCCTTTGTATGAAAAAAAAAAAAAAAAGGGAATCTGCTGAGAGATTGTATTTACATAACGAAACACTCGACAGTAGAGCTCTTCACGGATTCATCTGTACCCGAGACCCGATCCAGAATTCTAAATAGTGTCACGGATCTGAACTGATAACCACAGGTAGGCCTCTATGTAATTTTAACTTCCTTGTCCGGAAGAGCCCGTACATATCCGAATGCGACTGCTATGGTAGAGAAATTGAATTTATGCTGCTGCTCTTACATTTCACGAGAGTGGAGCTTGTTGGCCAATCATAAGTTATCAAAGCCGCAATAGGCTAGTCATAGAGCCTCCGTGTGTGGCAAAAGTTAGGAGATATCTAATTAATGGAACTAAAAGTTAAAGGAGAAGGATAGGCTACCACGACCATATTCTGAATGGAGTTGAGGATGAGAATGCAGCCTCAATTAGCCTAGCTCGCTAACGTTAGCTAGCTTAACTAGCTTCTCCCGGTACTACATAATCATATTTGATGATAAATAACTTTGCTATGGCAGCTATTAATCTACTATAGCGCGAGTCGGCTTGGTTGCTGTCTCATCTCTCCCTCCCTCCTCCCCGTGTCACTCGCTCACAGTATGGCCCCTCCCCCACCTGCTGGAGCAGCACCTCTCTCTCCCTCTCGCGCTTTATCAGCTCCAGTTAAAAGTATCAGCTCCAGTTAATAAAGTAGCTCTAAATTTTTTTATTTTTTTTAAATATGTTGCTTCCCTCATTCAGATTATACCAGGTCTGGATCTGAACAGGTCTATACGGAACGGGTCTAGCTATGTCCGGGTCCGTTCGGAATGGGTCTCTGACTATATTTAAAAAGAAAATATTTATACATATCGGGTTCGAGTGGGAAAGCCCCAGGTCCATTTCAGAATTGGTCCAACTTTTTGGACCCGTGAAGACCTCTACTTGAGAGACAACATTGCTGGGGGGGCTCATAACCATATGCTGAATAATAATCCACACTATTTGTAGCCTAGGGTCTCATATCATGCTTAAATTTGACTGGTGTCTGACAAAGGAATTCTGAGGGATTGTTTGTGTACAAGCATTGCTGCTGCTGTTTAATTTCTTCTCGGTTTTGGTTGGTGGCCATTGTCAGTCACATAATAGGAGGCTGTTGTTACTCCTGTGTAAAGGGAATATTATGACTGTCGCTGGCTGCTACAACCAATCCCCTCCTCTCAACCAACGGAAGTTAGGACTTGTTGCATAAGGTTTTCAACATCTTTGAACTTAATGAAGTTGTAACTCTGAATATAATATGGAGTTGATGGAAGTCGCCCCTAACCGAAGCTCCAGGGTCAGATATTTTTGCATCCTACTATGATTTGGGGCTGGGTAATCTGATCCTAGATCTGTGGTTAGGGGCTAAGCTAGGTACCAGCTGCAGTTTGAGAATGGTAGTGTTCCTTAATCCATCTCTTAGGGGTGGCCTATGTGGATGTTTTTGTGCACCTTCTTGGGTTCCTCTTGGACTGACTTGAGGAACCAGGGTAAAGGTAATTTGATGGTGAAGCAGTTGGTCTGCATACCACCGCTTATAGTTCCATTATTAAACGGCACTGCATGGTCAAACCGACGTCTGCATTGGCCGTGCAGCATTAACGGCGATACAGCCTCTGCAGAGGTCAGGGCATTCATACGTTTTGTGCTTCATGGAGCAAAGCAGAGCTGTTGTCAAGGAAGTGAGTTTGTTTATACAGTACCTACAGTCAACCAATCATGTCAATGCAGAGCTATACGGAGCCCTCTACATTGTTACAACATTTGAGAGGCACGGTCATGCGGTACGGCGCTTGATTTGGCATCTGCACACCCTCCATACGAAGCCTCCGATCACATTTTCGGACCAAGCATAAATTGGCTTTAAGACGGGGTGATTTTTGTTGCTCTGACGGTACATCCAGTGATACACTAAGGGGAGTGGTTGTTACAGTAGAATTACATGGTGCTTACAAATGGCTGAACTCAAACTGCACCTGTGTAACTTGGGACACTTGTGAATAGTCACGTTATTAGGTGGTTTTCTCAAGTTAGGATTCAGGATATTATAGTTATTGTCCTGAGGGAGTTGGAGTTGCTGTTAATAGAACAGCACCGTTTTAGGGAGGACATAATTTCTCCACCACAAAATAAATGTTAAATGCCAAATGGAATCTGTGCCTCACCACTTACAAGAAAGATGGGATCTATGCTAATGTTCCAGTTACTCACACTCTAATATGTCTCAAATGACACCCTATTCTATTCCCCATGTAATACACGTCTTAGTTGGGTGTCATTTGGGACATAACCTTTTTGTCTCTACACAGCGTTACCTTGTTAGGGACATTTTCTTGTTTCTTAGATTTGCCTGGCCTGTTGAACGAACAGAGGATGCATTATTTGGAGTGAAAGGGGGAAGTAAAAAAAAAAAAAAAGTGCTTTTTTTTGTTCCACCCCTCATCTAGAAGTGTTAACATCCATAGGTAGTGATTTAATAAGGTTTTAAGAATGTTTTTGTTTTTTTAAGTGTAGAGGTCAATAAAAAAAATAAGCTGAAGGAATGAGCTCTGTGTAGTTGTCTTTCTTAGCATTTTTTGGTCTGGCGTTTGCCAAAACCTTTGGCTATATTCTAGAAGACTTGTATTTGGGAACCGATCGCAATGCTTGGAGAACAAAACACATTGTTTCAATCCTCACGTTAAAATCGACAGTAACTTCAACTACAAAGGTAATTGTGAGAGAGCAGCCCTTTATTGTGGCAAAAACAGAGTCGAAAGGTTCCAATTCCTAAACCTTACACCCTAAGAAGTCAAATCCTAACGAGGTATGATTGCACAAGCTTAACAAACTGTAATTCATGCATTCAATGGAAGATTAGCGCACAGATCAAGTTAGGATTCGGGCCTAAGTATGCACTTGCTTACTGTCCCTCATGGATTTAAAGCATTTGTATGGTGTAAGTATGGGCTAGAGTTTATTTTCCCAGGCGATTCCTGGATGGGCGTGAATGATGGTACACTTCAGGGAGGGTGGAGGAGTGGACTACAGCCTGTGACTTCATTTCAGAATTGACACCATTATCTACAACCCTTCTCCACTGTCAAATCACAACCTATTGTTCCCATGATCCTACCACAGGAAAAGTACAAAATTACAGTTTTTGCTTCTCACAATGCAAAGAATCGCTACCTGAGAACAACAAATAATCTTCAGTTAGATGGGGTACTACAATCGCTCAGCCCATTTTAGCATCTCAGAAGATTGCCATGTCATCATACGGTTCCTGAGATATTACACATTTCTCCAGGGATTGTGAGATCTGATGATCTGTTTAGCGTGAGGGCAAATAAAGATGACCTGGAACATGCGCAGGGCTATTGCTTTAGGGAGGTTATTAGTGGTGGAGGAGTGGTCAGGGGTGGAATCTGGTCTCCTCCGCCACAATACGCTCTCGGCACGTCTCCCGCAGCTTAGAGATGGTTGCCATGGAGAGACTTCCTGGTTCCCTGAAGATTTCCTGTCAATATCAGGAAGAAGAGAAAGGAGGATTTCCTGTCAATATGAGGAAGAAGAGAAAGGAGGACTTCCTGTCAATATGAGGAAGAAGAGAAAGGAGGACTTCCTGTCAATATCAGGAAGAAAAGAAAGGAGTTAGTAAACTGTTTGTGGACCAGTTCATGGATGAAGTTACCAATGGACACTGATCACAGACCCTAGATCTGTGCCTAAGGTTACTTCTCTCTTCTGAAGTACCTTACCTTCATGAAGGTGTGGCAGTCGTATGTAAAGGCTCCCTGAGTGATCAGTTTGAAGCGCTCACACAGCTCGACCATGGAGCGGGCCTCCAGGATCTCAGCCTGGTGGTGGCGAATCAGAGTCAAGGCCACGCGGAACAGGATCTTAGAACCCTCGTAAAACAAGCAATCCCAGATCCGCAGAACTGTCTGGGGAAGACGAGAGATGTGTGAAAGACAAAAAATATAATAATTATCTTACACAGGGTGATGATAGGACCCAGACTGAAATACTGTCTCAACAAGCACACACAAACACACCCACCCCAGACCCCACTGCCCCTCACCTCTACAGGCAGGACGTCGATGTAGAGGCAGATTAACCATCGGGAGACCACCAGGGTCCACATGACGTTGTGTTGGACCATGGCCTGCCACACAGCCGGGGATTTGACCCTCACCAGCTCCCCCAACACCTCCTGGTCCATCTTCAACCCCAGCATGGCCGGGTTGTAGTAGTCTACAACACAACAAGGACAGCTCAGGTTAATTCAGTTGTGTGTGTGACAAGGGGTTGTGTGTGTGTGTGTGTGTGTGTAAAATCTAATTGTATTTGTCACACGCTGAATACAATGGGTGTACACTATATAGCCCTTCCCAACGATGCAGAGTTAAAAAACTATAATAACAATAGTAACACAAAGAATAAAATACACAAGAATGGAGCGATATACAGGAAGTACCAGTACCAGATCAATGTGGAGCTATATACAGGAAGTACCAGTACCAGATCAATGTGGAGCTATATACAGGAAGTACCAGTACCAGATCAATGTGGAGCTATATACAGGAAGTACCAGTACCAGATCAATGTGGAGCTATATACAGGAAGTACCAGTACCAGATCAATGTGGAGCTATATACAGGAAGTACCAGTACCAGATCAATGTGCAGGGGTACGAGGTATTTGAGGTAGATATGTACATGAAGGCAGGGTAAAGTGACTAGGCATCAGGATAGATAATAATAAGGTATTTGAGGTAGATATGTACATGAAGGCAGGGTAAAGTGACTAGGCATCAGGATAGATAATAATAAGGTATTTGAGGTAGATATGTACATGAAGGCAGGGTAAAGTGACTAGGCATCAGGATAGATAATAATAAGGTATTTGAGGTAGATATGTACATGAAGGCAGGGTAAAGTGACTAGGCATCAGGATAGATAATAATAAGGTATTTGAGGTAGATATGTACATGAAGGCAGGGTAAAGTGACTAGGCATCAGGATAGATAAGAGTAAAATAAATAAAACAGTAGCAGCATCATATGATGAGTGTAACGGTGTGTGTGTGGGGTACATAGATGGTATATATCCTGAGAAACATCCTGTGGTTATTCATCTTATAATGTGAGCATGACAAACCCAGTGTCTTACCACAAGCCATGTGATCATGGTGCTATTGCACAGAAGGACACAGCAATATAACCTTCCACAAACAAGTAGGTCTACAACTATGTACACTGGCTTCAGGAAGTATTCACACCTTTTGACTTTTTCCACATTTTGTTGTGTTACCAAAGTCAGCGTGCATGCACCCGGCCCGCCACAAGGAGTCGCTAGAGCGCGATGCGACAAGGACATCCCGGCCAGCCAAACCCTCCCCTAACCCGATCGAACCCGGGTCTGTAGTGACGCCTCTAGCACTGCGATGCAGTGCCTTAGACCGCTGCACCACTCGGGAGGCAGCAATAATAGTGTACCCCACACATACACCTATTGGTAGATGGGTAAAAACATTAAAAGCAGATATTGAATATCCCTTTGAGCATGGTGAAGTTATTATTTACATTTTGGATGGTGTATCAATACACCCAGTCACTACAAAGATACAGGCATCCTTCCTAACTCAGTTGCCGGAGAGGAAGGAAACCACTCAGGGATTTCACCATGAGGCCAATGGTGACTTTAAAACAGTTACAGAGTTTAATGGCTGTGATAGGAGAAAACTGAGGATGGGTCAACAACATTGTAGTTACTCCACAATACTAACTAAGTGGAAAGGAGGAAGCCTGTACAGCAGGGTTCTTCAATTCCGGTCCTGGAGGGCCGAAACACCTCTGTTTTTCATCCTCTCCTTCTAATCAGGGGCTAATTCAGACCTGGGACACCAGGTGAGTGCAATTAACTACCAGGTAGAAATAAAAAACAGAAGTGTTTCGGCCCTCCAGGACCGGAATTGAAGAACCCTGCTGTACAGAATACAAATATTCCAAAACATGCATCCTGTTTCTAACCAGGCACTAAAGTAATACTGCAAAAAATATGGCAAAGCAATTCACTTTTTGTTTGGGCCATTTCCAATAAAGCACATTACTGAGTACCACTCTCCATATTTTCAAGCGTGTGGTGGTTGCATCATGTTATGGGTATGCTTGTAATCGTTAAGGACTGGGGAGTTTCAGGATAAAAAAGAAACAGAATGGAGCTAAGCAGAGGCAAAATCCTAGAGGAAAACCTGGTTCAGTCTGCTTTCCACCAGACACTGGGATAGAAATTCACCTTTCAGTAGGACAATAACCTAAAAACACAAGGCCAAATCTACACTGGATTTGTTTACCAAGAAGACAGTGAATGTTCCTGAGTGGCCGAGTTACAGTTTTGACTTAAATCTACGGCAAGACCTGAAAATGGTTGCCTAGCAATGATCAATTTGACAGACCTTGAAGAATTTCGTAAAGCATAAAATTGGCAAATTATGCAAATGTTGCACAATCCAGGTGTGGAAAGCTCTTAGAGACTTACCCAGAAAGACTCGCAGCTGTAATCGCTGCCAAAGGTGCTTTTACAAAGTATTGACTCATGGTTATGAATATTAGATATTTCTGCATTTCATTTTCAATACATTTGCAAAAATGTCTAAAAACATGTTTAGACTTTTTCATTATGGGGTATATAACACATTTTGAATTCAGGCTGTAACAACAAAATGTGGAATAAGACAAGGGGTATGAATAGTTTCTGAAGGCACTGTACATGCACACCTCACCACACACATCCTCTCACACAACCATGCATACAAAAACAGACGAGCAGACAAGCAGACAGACACAACAGAAGTCTGTGGGACTAACCAGGGAGTATTCTTCCCAATAAAGCGTCCATCAGCCAGAAGGACTTCTCTTCATCCTTAGTGATGATGATGAGGTAGCCTGCAATGAAGTTCATACCCTAGAATTGAGAGAGAAACTGTAACTCCCTTCACACACACCTGTGCACACATGGTATGCACACAACACCCACACTATAGAGGACAGGAGAGGTATAGGCAGTTATGGCTGGGGACAGAGCAGGTACACACAGAAGAGTCGACAATGGACGTACTGTACACACAAGGTAAGTCAGACACAGGAGACAAGTGAGATCCACTCAGTTAACAGATTATTTATACCAGGGCTCTCCAACCCTGTTCCTGGAGAGCTACCCTCCTGTAGTTTGTCACTCCAACCCTAATCGAGTGCACCTGATTCTAATAATTAGCTGGTTGATAAGCAGAATTAGGTTAGTTACAACTGGGGTTGGAGCGAAAACCTACAGGAGAGTAGCTCTCCAGGAACAGGGTTGTAGTTAAAACCTACAGGAGGGTAGCTCTCCAGGAACAGGGTTGGAGAACCCTGGTTTATAGTATCTATAAGGCACAGTACCTGGCAGTATCCCACAACCTGGTTGTGGTGTCCGTACGCCAGCAGCACATTGTACAGGGCCTTCTGCAGACAGGGCTCTGAGCTGTTCCGGAACTGCACGTTGTCGGGGAACGTCCTGTGCATGTCTACCAAGACAGGACACTCAACCATCAGCCAATAATAGTAAAGGAACCATCAGAGTCTTGTTCATCAGGGAACAAAACAGAAGAAAATGGACAGTAACAGGGAGGGACAACCTGGACCTCAAAAGCGCTATAAAACATTTTATATTGCGTGGCCTAATGAACATATCCCAGGTGCATCCACGGCAGGTGAGATTAGTTTAGTAAAGGTGATTACAATCATGTGAATATAGTTACAGTACCTATGCGGACGGTCTCTTCCAGCTTGGCGTCGTGCTGCTGCTCGGTGCCCAGCAGAGAGTGGTAGTATCCTGGGTTCTTCTCCAGGTGCTCCTGGGCCCCGCTGGCTGCCATCCAGATCTGGGCTCGGTGCTCCTTGGGCACACCTTTACGCACGTACCGCTTCACTAAGAGAACAGAAACCATGACTACAGTAAAAAAAAAAAAAATGTATGCACTCACTACTGTAAGTCGCTCTGGATCAGAGTGTCTGCTGAATAACTAAAATGTAAACGTGTGTTTCTCTGTTTGCGTGTCTCACCCTTCAGGTTCTTTTCCACGTTGACTTTCCCCTGCAGGAGTTTGGACCACTTGGCAGACCTCCTGGTGAGAACAGCTACATACTGAGCCATCATCTCCTCATAGGATTCATAACCCTCAGGCTTCTCAAACCCATAGGAGTCCACCCTATGGAGACAGGGTCAGTCCGGGAAGACAAACACACACACGCACTTAAATAACTATGGATCATTCTGATCTACATTACCCACATTTTAGACCCAGCAGAGTGCATTGATCACAGCCTGTAATAGCACAGTGGTAGTCAGATGACCTGACATTGGCCAAGCCTTAGCTACAATAACCCAGACTAGATGGTTGGTAAGGATTGCTGTGACAGGTAGCTAGCTATAGGATCAGATGACATGCTGTTGAATCAACCCGTGTGAAATTACAACCCTAGAGACAAGCTGATTAGAGCAAAAACCAAGCCAAACGAGGAAAGATCCCGAGAGAGATGTTCAAACATCCTTAAAAGATAAATATGTTATAAAACAATCCGTAGATGTTTCACAATTGTGGATTTAATGTTAATTCAGCTGGTAAATACAAGCTTGTGAAATAGATAGTGTGAATTGAAAGCCAGCAGGTAGACCTACACTAAAGTTACACTACCTGGTTAGATTAATTATTAGATACACGGAAATATAAGCGTTACCTGTCATTCGCATTGGTGCTGTTGTTCAGGTGAAGCTGGGAAGTTAAGTTTCCGTTCGTTTCACTCTCCATAGCGTGAACTCCTCGGAATTTACGGTAAAATGTGAAAACGCACTCTCGAAGTAAATTGTCTGATCCACCAACTCGAATAGTTTGCAGTTACATTAGAAATCCATGACCAACTACCTACCTACCATACGTTGCCAGCTGTCAGTCAGCGGGAGCAAAAAACGACGCACTGTGACTACACGGATGCTCCAAAGTTAATCATGTCCCAAAACAACTTGCAGGCTAATGTGAAATACATATCGTGTCATAAAATGTTGAAACAAAAAAATATTGGAAAATACGTTAGTCTACTACCACTCTTCAGCCCATACATCAATTGCGTACGATTCTTCTGCCCTACCTCACCTTTCACCCATCTACCTCACCAATGATTGATCGGGAGGCGGGGCATTGATCTTTGTAAACGCCCCCCACCTCAGGTAAATGGATCCCTTCAGTAAATTCTACATTCAACCCATACTGTAGGCCTAAAGTCTACTGCTGTAATTCACTACTCTAGGCCTATATATTATATGGCCTATGAGCTCAATGGCATTTTTGAACATCACAAGCTTTAAAGTGCCAACTGTGATGATCAAATGTTTTGTTTTTGTCTAAATAGAGTTCTTGTTTCGCTTTCCATCCTCAGTGGCCTTATTTATTCTACCAAGCCTGGTTACAACATATGCCAGTGTTGTGCCTTTATGTCAATGTTATGGATTTACACACAAAAGACTGTGGCCTACTTTCCACACTCTGATAGAGCCCCACAGTGTAGATGTCATAATACCCATAAAACCTAGCGGTCAAACAGGGAAATGGGTTCCAATCGTTTTTCCACCATTCATTTTTCCATTGGGGATTTTAGAAACACTTCAAATAAGGGCTGTGTTTCATGTAGGCATACCATGGCGTGATATTTTGATAACCATGTAAATCTCTCTTGGACAAGGTGACATTTATCAATATATTCAGCTCTATTGACAAAATGGCCACCCTGAAGACGTCTAGATCGGTCCACTAATAAAGGACTAGTAAAGGCCCAGTGCACTACTTAATTTTTTTACTAAATGTATTTGAGTGTTTACCATACTGATAATTCTGTACAAAAGTTAATCTGATAATACTTGTGGTATATAAAAGTACTTGCTTGATATGTTTTCCAGTTTCTTGAAATACTTTGCAAATGCTACTTATTTCTATGTGAAAACTGAAATGGTCTATTCATTCCTTTTACGTAGACACTCTTATCCAGAGCAACTTACAGTAGTGAGTGCATTCATTTTCGTACTGGTCCCCCCGTGGGAATCCAACCCATAACCCTAGCATTGCAAGTGCCATGCTCTACCAACTGAGCCACATCACATACTCACAAACCACTTGATGTCTCAATGTACTCAGTTACTGTATTGTGCATTGTTTATCTTCATGGTGATGGGAAGTCTACAGGTACAAACCTAGATTACCAGCCTATGTACAATACAGTAATGTACATTTACATTGTGGTTTGTAAGGATGGTAAATTAATACTGCACAAAAACTGATCAAGCTTTTTTGCCAAAGCAGAGATGCCGAAAAAAAGTTTTTGTCCGTGCTACAGACATCTATATCGGTCCGCTAATACTAGTAAATGCCCAGTGCACTACCTTTTTAAAAGGTAATAATATATTTTATTACAAAATAAATGGTATTCTGATTTTTCAGCACACCTACTTCCTGCGGCTATGCCTCAGTCCTGCTTTTCATTTATGCCTTGCATTTAATTGATCAAGTCGTGTCATTAATTGGCCAGCAGACAATTGGCCAGCCCTTGAAGACCTGATTTTTGTTATTTTATATAATCCCCCTAACACGACCAGGTAGAAAATAAAAGTATTTCTGCCCTTGCGGCCCAGAATGAGCAGCCCTGCCCTACTGTACACATGTCATATGTGACTAGCATTTAGAGAATGCATGGTCCATTTACTTCAATGGCTAAAATGTAGTGAACAAAAGACAGTAGTGAACAAAAAAGATTTGAAAACAATAAAATGACTTGGTACACACCAGACCTAAAAATCTAAATCAATCCAATTATATTGAGGCATCATATACCTGCATTTCTTTTTTAATTTACACAAAAACATTTCTCTCATATTTATAAATGTAACATATTTATATTATTCTTAATATAATTATAAGTACATACTGTTTTAGAAAACAGTATATAACAACTGTAACAGTTTTGTTGGTGCTTGTTTCGTGAGCAAACGTTGCAAGCTGTTCTGTTGGTCCCAAAGTGTTTGGGTTAGAAACAAGGTCGTCGCAGAGCCCTGCTTGCCACAAAAAAAGCAAACTAACAAGAATCGACCCGAAACACACACACACAGCAGTCGGTCTTTTACATCTGATTTCCCAGAGCTGGTCCCCTGCTCTCAATGTTTTGTCATTCCTCCAAGAGAGAAAGAGAGAGAGAGGCCGTGGCTGTGCCAGGAGATGTAGCTCTTTCCTTTTCTCTGATTCTTTTCTCGAACACTGATATTACCAAGGCCTCTTCCCGGCTAGTCCTCAGGCTGGGACATGTATTGCCGGAGACACCAGCTGACAATGTGCACATGGCGACTCCCATCAAACAAGGACAGAAATAAAACTCAAGAGTTGCTTCCTGTGTTTTCCTCTCACTCCTCCCTGATAGGTGGTTACCTGATAATTGTGCAGTGTCACTGTTTTAAGTGTTTCACAGTTTTCTCTTAAAAGTATTTTTTAAAATCCTACAAAGTCAATGAAGAGGAACCAAAGTTCTACCCCTCTTCCAAGAGCTGAGTTGTTATTAGTGGGTTTTGCGTTTGGATCCCGTTACGATTGGCCGGGCGAATTCCACAAAGTCGTCTATGAGAATTGGCCACGCCCCTGACAGGAAGGAAATATGATTAGCTGTCATTTACTGACTTTCTTACTCCATTCCCTTGCTCCAGGTAGAAGTTACCCTAAGCACAGATCTGGGAACAGCAGGCTAACTGTAGGCATTTGGGGAAAACGCAAAATGGACCTTAAATCAGTTTCTAGAAGCAACTTCATTCCGGATCAACTCCTCATCTAGAGCAGTGGTCACCAAACCTGGTCCAGGAGAGCTGCAGGGTCTGCAGGCTTTTGTTTCGGCCCAGTAGTGAATCACCTGATTCATCTAATTTACAGCTCATCAGAACCTGGATTAGCTGAATCAGGTGTGTTGGTGCTGAGCTAGAACAAAAGCATGCCCACTCAGTATCTTTCCAGGTCCAGGGTTGATGACTACTGCATTCTACCATTGTGTATATTCAGTTGAGAGCAACGTTCGGTGCACTGTACTTTTGCAGACAGCAATGAACCATTACTAGTCTGAGCTTTTAAACTCACCCTCATCGTCGTAATTTGACAGGGATGTAGCTCAGTTGGTAGAGCATGACGTTTGCAACGCCAGGGTTGTGGGTTCGATTCCCACGGGGGGGAAAAAATAAAAAATAAAAATATATATAATGTATGCACTCACTAACTGTAAGTCGCTCTGGATAAGAGCATCTGCTAAATGACTAAAATGTCAATGTAAAAAATGTCGTCAGCGATTATGTTGCCAAAATCCAAGAGTAAGTTCCATGTGTCTTTGGGAATCGACCGTTTGTGGTGTTCCTACGAGAAAACGAAAGTGGGAAAAGTGCACAGGAGAAAACAAAACACAGGATGTACCTAACAACTAGCGTCAACATGACACAGGATGTACCTAACAACTAGCGTCAACATGCCACAGGATGTACCTAACAACTAGCGTCAACATGACACAGGATGTACCTAACAACTAGCGTCAACATGACACAGGATGTACCTAACAACTAGCGTCAACATGACACAGGATGTACCTAACAACTAGCGTCAACATGACACAGGATGTACCTAACAACTAGCGTCAACATGACACAGGATGTACCTAACAACTAGCGTCAACATGTAATGTTAGATAGGGATCCATAGCATTACCAATAGGAACCTGTTCCAGAGGCCCAGGAACTTAAAACGGTCTTTCGGTACCAGGTTCCAGTAGGACACAGCCATCTCTAGATCTGAAACACAGCAAAAGCCACAACTTGTTATCTCACTGTAGTTGAATCAGGTGTGTTCTCACTTTGTTGAAACAAAAGCCTGGACACCACCATTGGGTGTCCTCAGGACCAGAGTTGAAAAACACTGATGCAACTACAGTACAGTAACTCTTGTGAACACTGATATAACCAACTAATCTGTGCTTACCTAAACCCTTCTGTCCAGGGTTCTTGGCGAAGTTGAAGGTGAACTGGTAGAAGTCCTGAACTTTCCGCTGTCTTTCAGCTCTTGTTCTAATCTGGGAAGAAGAGCCTTCAGCTTCTCTGGGCTGTCGCACCTGGAGAGAAGAGAAACAGAGTGGGCAAGTCAGTGGATAGCTCAATCAAAAGCACAACACACACACATCTCATCTAATCCAGAGGTTCCTAAACTGTTCTTGTGCTATGATCTGCTACAAATCCTTTGGGTTCCCAGGGCCATGTTCGGTGGGCACAAACAGGATAACCTTTTGTAGCGAACGTTGTCCAATAAGAACACTCATTTTCGATTTTCGATTTAAAAACAAGTTCCCGTAGGACCCAGAGCTAACCTATGCTGACTTGGCTTCACACCAAACATGAAGACACACAGTATTAATGCCAAAGTTGATGGAGTCTAAATATAGCACCTCTCCCCACCATGGGAACACACACTAACAACGAACACCACAATAACATGCTCCGGCAATAACCAATACCACACTGTCATGCCCCCAAACGGAGCCGTGTCGCAGAGTGATGACATCACCACTCGCTCACCCCAGTTCGGACATGCCGTCCAGGAACTCCTTCTTGCTGAACTCGCACTGGGTGGCAGCCCGGAACTTCCACGCCAACACCAGGACTCTGATGCTGGCCGGGTCCAGGGTGAGGTCATTGCAGAACTGCTGGATGCCGTCGATGCCAATCTTATTCTCATCCTGGGGATCTGTGGAATAACATGTGACATAAACGCTTAATGAACACACACACACAGTCCAGCAATCACTATCTTAGGGATCTGAGAGACTCACAAACACACATTTCCTCTTCTGGTGAACAAGATAAGCAATACAATGCATAACACCACAAATACATAATACACACACACTTACTGACCCATAACAGAAACAATCTTTGACACACACAATCTCCACGTGCTCCATTCTTCCAGAACTTTCCCCACTTGCCTTTGTAGCAGTTGTAGAGCTGTTCCAGCTTCTTCTCCACAGGAGTTTTCATGGATTCCTTGTAGTAGAGGTCTGGGTTCTGGAAGTAGTTGTCTGTGGCCCCCTCTAGTTTCCAGACATTCTGGGTAAGGCAGTAAGAGGCAGTCTTCTCCCCCGCCTGCGTGAACGCTTTGAACCGCCGGACCTTGTCCCTCTGCGAAGACTTCAGCTTATGCTGCACGGAGACAGGATACGGGCTGTCAGACACAGACAGGCAAGGCAGCACCGACAACAGGATGCATACACCAGGATACACAGGGACACACACATATCCTACATTCTACACATTCTACCCCCAAGCCATAAGACTCCTGAACAGCTAATCATGGCTCCCCGGACTATTTGCCCCCCCACCCCATCCTTTTTACGCTGCTGCTACTCTGTTAATTATTTATGCATAGTCACTTTAACTCTACCCACATGTACATATTACCTCAACTACTTCAACTAGCCGGTGCCCCCGCACATTGACTCTGCACCGGTACCCCCCTGTATATATAGCCTCCCTACTGTTATTTTATTTTACTTCTGCTCTTTTCTTCTCAACACTTTTTTGTTGTTGTTTTATTTTACTTTTTTATTAAGGAATAAATGCATTGTTGGTAAAGGGCTGTAAGTAAGCATTTGACGGTGTTGTATTCGGCGCATGTGGCAAATAAAATTTTGATTTTATTTTATTTGACATCCACAGACATTCAGGCCGAGGTCATGCAGAAACAAGGGTAGCTGGTCACAGACAGTCACTCACTTTGTATGATGATGAGATATAGGTTGACAAACAAACAGCAGCCGACAGACAAACAATCAAGACTTAGAACTATTCTGAGAGTGGAGAACGTTGGGTTAACTCGGAGCATGTGCTGTGCATCCCAGGTCCCCAGTATATGGGGCACCTGGTGGAATGTAATGTAACATGAGCAGGAGGATGCCATCAACCTCACTGCTCAACTAGTCCAGGGTGTCCCATGTTCCCAAACACACTATGCTAATAATGCCAGATATACAGGGGTGTTGTTGTCATGTGGTGTTGCTGTGTATGGCCGGCAGGGATGTAGCTCATTTGGTAGAGCATGGCGTTTGCAACGCCAGGGTTGTGGGTTCGATTCCCACGGCGGGCCAGTATGAAAAAAATGAAAATATTAATGTATGCACTCACTAACTGTAAGTCGCTCTGGATAAGAGCGTCTGCTAAATGACTAAAAAGTGTTGCTGCCATGCTATGTTGTCTCTTTATGTAGTGTTGTGGTGTCTCTCTTGTCTTGATGTGTGTTTTGTCCTATCTTTTTCATCTCAGCTCCATCCCCGCTGGAGGCCTTTTGGTAGGCCGTCATTGTAAATAAGAATTTGTTCTTAACCGACTTGCCTAGTTAAATAAAGGTTCAATAAATAAAATGTCCAACTTTGCAGAGTAAGCAGATTGTGTAATAATGTGACCAGGTGTATTTCAAACTGCGTGCATGCACAATGAAACATGCAATGCTGTCCTGCTTGCGTGTTAAAAGCTTGGCAAATGTCCATAACCTCGAGACATGCATCTATTTTAATAGACTGAACAACTAAACGATGCTACCCCATGATCTCGGGTGTCCAATAACTGAATTTGATCAGGATTAGACAATTGTAGGCTGATAACTCTATTGAGAGTGTGAGCGAAAAGCATAAACTATTATGTTGTTGAACAAACAAATTACCTCGAACGGCAACGTAATCAACAAAAACAAGTGTCAGATCGGGCGTCCATATGATATGTCAGGGGTGTGCGAGAAAACCGTTGTTGGCGCTCACTGGTTTGGCTCGGACAACGCCTTCAAACGCAAACCACTTAACTTGGTGCGTCTGACTGGCTCACATATCCCGACTACCAAAAAGGGAGTCGTAGCCAGTTAGCTGGACGATTTTTATATTTTACCTTTATTTAACTAGGCAAGTCCATTAAGAACAAATTATTATTTACAATGACGGCCTACACCGGCCAAACCCGGACGACGCTGAGCCAATTGTGCGCCGCCCTATGGGACTCCCAATCACGGCGGGTTGTGATACAGCCTGGAATCGAACCAGGGGGTCTGTAGTGACGCCTCAAGCCCTGAGATGCAGTGCCTTAGACCGCTGCGCCACTCGGGAGTTCAGAGTGCGGTTCTAGGTCTCAATATACCCCCAACTGACCTTCCTTCCCCTGGTAAATTACTCAAGTGAAACACCTCAATGGCAACACATATAATATAATAATATGCCATTTAGCAGACGCTTTTATCCAAAGCGATTTACAGTCATGTGTGCATACATTTTTACGTATGGGTGGTCCCGGGGATCGAACCCACTACCCTGGCGTTACAAGCGCCATGCTCTACCGAGACGGAACAATGTATCCTTGTTATAATCCCAGGGTTCAACATTACCGCAGCAGTTTATGCTTGAAGTTGTGTTTATTTATGTGCTTGTTACCTACCATTTTCATAAGGCTTTTTGACCTATTTGATAGCCAGTCGCTCATAATGCGCTTGCGCGGAAGCCCTCGGCTTGTTGACGGTTTGGACAAATGGGATGCGGCTAATGTCAGAAATGACTTTTCGTTTGCAGATTATGATCATTTACGCAGCAGGTTATGATAATTAACGTAGTTATTTAGGAGAATTAGGTTAAAGAAATTATCCCCAATGCGACAAAAGTCACTGTCATTTGCTGCATCCCTACTAGCCAAGACCCTTATTGACTACAGCCTGCGCGTCGACGTTGAGTAAATATCCTACAGATTTCACGGGACCGCAATGTAACGGACAATTTATAAAATTGTCAACCTAGATATGGATGCCACCGAATCAATCAAATATCTACGATAAAGAAAGAGGGTGATGACTGATCTGGCTATCTAGCGGCCACGAAGATTAGTTACATATTCCGAAATGCAATGTTGTAGCTACATGTGTTTGTTTCGGAAGTAACGCGTTAGCTAATTTAGCTAGCAAGTCAAAGATCAACAATTCTTTCTTACGCGTGTTAAAAACATTAATTATTTTAAATACTTATTATCGCTATAATATTAGACGCTTTGAATAAACTTTGCTCGGTCAGCATTCAAATGAGCTGAACAGTCGCGTCTTGGATTAGCTAGTTAGCTAACAAGCTACCAACCTCAAAGTTTATAGTTGAAGGAGCCCTGCATATACAAAAGTATGTACACAAACCTCATTACATGAGACTCGCATTCGATGAAAAGACATACCCGAGACCGGTTACTGTCGAGGTTGGTGAAATATTGGTCGTGGGGTCAGTAGAAATTGTGTATGGCTGCAAATTTGTTCTGACACAAATGAGAAGCTGCAAATTTGTTCTGACACCAAGGAGAAGGGTGCAATTGCATCTGCAGAAACGCATCTATACTTCTATTAGTAAATGTTTAAACTAGGACAGGCGGGAGCGCTCCAGTACAATAGGTATCATCACGTTGGATGCCAACCGGCGATAAACCCCACAGAAGAAGAGGCGAGGGCGACAACGGTAGACAGTATCCTTCGCCCCCGCCTGTCGGGCACTGTTTTCCCGCAGTTCTATTAACGGTGGCGAGGGCAGGCAGGAGCGAAGGACACTGTGTGCCAACTACAGTAGCAAGTCCTACGGAGGACTCAGGTACACAGAAGGCAGGAGGCTGGGGAGACACTGCTGGTGCTAGCACACGGTGTCGCCTCTCCTGCTGTGTACAGAGTAGCGGGGGCGACCGGCAGACAGTGTCCTTCGCCTCCGCCTGTCGGGCACGGTTTTCCGCAGTTCTGTGGACGGTGATGGCAGGCGGGAGCGAAGGACCCTGTCTACCATGGAGGATTCTGGTACACAGCAGGCGGGTACGAAAAACACAAATAATACTTTCATTTATCTTTTGACCCAAATTCAAGGGGGGCGTTCATGCAGGAACCAATGGGATCCTCGATGGGGGGCGTTCATGCAGGAACCAATGGGAATGCCCACATGCAGGAACGCCCCGAATTACGGGCCGCAATCAACACTCTTGACCTCAAGAAGCAAACCAGCCACAGTTTAAGGAAAGCTGACGTCAGAAGAGGAGTTTATTGCATGCCTTGAGAGCTAAGAAATGCTAAAACATAAACATCAACTTTGAAGTGAAGTAGGGGATTATCATTTTGAATTAATTTCTACATATTTTAGAATGAATGAATTATTTGAGTGTCAATATTTGGCATATCATTATTGCTACAAAGGAATAGGTGACCTTCAAGGGGCCTATTATGTGTGTGTGAGCGAGAGAGAAAGAGAGAGAGACATGAGTTGCCCTTTTAGGACAGTTTGCAGATTCACATCTGAGTGGTTTCCCTCATCAGCACTGCAATTGACATAATTATCATCATATTATTATTGAACTCCACTATAGAAAAAGGAACAACTTATATTCAGATTGGTGAATAGCCATAAAAATGTAGCCAACACGCATCCCTCTTCAACAATCCCCTGGATAATCGTCTTTTGCAAAATTTTCTCACAACTGGCTTCCATCCGCACAATTCAGCATCACTACATGTGGGTTAGGGCCTATTTTGTATGTTTCCAGTTTTTATTAGTCTTATGTACAGGATACACATGGTTTTACACCGTCCAAATAAATGCTTACTTGCAGGTTCCTTCTCGACAATGCAACAACAATAAGAAATAAGAAAATATAAGAATATGAACATAAATGGCTCCAGTAGAATATAATACATTTTTTAGCAGAAGTATAATACAGGAAGGTACAATTTATAGTACAATATTTACACATGTATGTGTTGCATATTGGACGTTTTTCTTTTTGTGTGTGACTAGCAGGTGAGGTTGGGAGGTCTCAACTCGCATATGTTTCTCTCTGCGATAACAGGGTGGAGGGGGTCATGAATGACTGAGCTGGGAGGCTCAGCTGAGAAGGGCATTTTATCTCTCACTCATTGAATCAGAGTTGAACTGCCATTCTGCTAAACTTTTTTTTTTTTTTTTTTTACAGGAACTTGAAAAAGTGTTAAGGTAATGAGACATGTCCACCCCCCCCCAAATTGTAAAGTGGTTATCCCACTGGCTATAGGGTGAACGCACCAATTTGTGAGTCGCTCTGGCTAAGAGCGTCTGCTAAATGACGTTAATGTGCCCTTGAGCAAGGCACTTAACCCTAATTGCTCCTGTAAGTCGCTCTGGATAAGAGCGTCATTTTGATGATTTATGAACAAACTACAGCAACATATTTTGTGTTTTATTCAAATAAGTTAGATTTTTATAAATATATTTTTTTTTTATAAAAATGACCCAAGAATTTCATACGGACACATTTTGGTAATGAGAATTTGGTGTGAAATTTTTCAAAATTCAGTCAAACAAGTAAAATCTATTTAAAATAAGACACTTTCCCAAAAACTAGACAGGGGGGGTGGAGGATCAGCTTTAATATTGCAGATAGATTGTAACTTCCATCAATGTAAACTAGACATCTTAGTCCTCAGATAGATAGTTCACTTTTGCAGATGCATCATGGTTTTGTAACTCAATTTGCTACAAAAAAAGGTTTTATGATAACCACCCAGGCACAACACTCTCACTCAGTAATCAGGATAATACACTGCTCAAAAAAATTAAGGGAACACTTAAACAACACATCCTAGATCTGAATGAATGAAATAATCTTATTAAATACTTTTTTCTTTACATAGTTGAATGTGCTGACAACAAAATCACACAAAAATTATCAATGGAAATCAAATGTATCAACCCATGGAGGTCTGGATTTGGAGTCACCCTCAAAATTAAAGTGGAAAACCACACTACAGGCTGATCCAACTTTTGATGTAATGTCCTTAAAACAAGTCAAAATGAGGCTCAGTAGTGTGTGTGGCCTCCACGTGCCTGTATGACCTCCCTACAACGCCTGGGCATGTTCCTGATGAGGTGGCGGATGGTCTCCTGAGGGATCTCCTCCCAGACCTGGACTAAAGC